GGAAGAAGGATATTTTCTTAGTTGCTAGCAAAGTTCAAAAGCAAATTAAACTTTGGGTTGCTTACAACAACCAGGCCTTTCCCCCTTCCATTCCAAGTATTCTTTAAAGGAGAAAAGAATAGCTCTGGATTTGAAAAAGATCAGTGAAAGTACGGGTGGTGGTGGATATTGGAAGAAGGGTTGGAACAGACAAGGAAGGTTGCATTGAAGAGACACTCATCTCTATCCCACATGTTAGATTTCTGGGCGGGGAAAGCCCTATATTACTGTATAGCTCACACCATTGCCACTGTTTCCAAAATTCCAGTGCTTATATAACCCAAGCCCCACCCCTGCCCAGTTGTGGGACTGGAAGATACAGTATATGTAGGGTGAGGTGATGGCTTGGTTTATCATTTAAGATATGCTATTATTTGGGACACTAGCAGTGATGGGTGGCTGGCGATAATGAAAAGGTTATGGATAGTTTATTTTGAGGGGAAACACTTTTTATTGCTGCTCATCACAAATTCCTGTGGAGCTATTTGCCTGTAATTTGTCAGAATTTATCCACTCCAAGGATGAGGAGTCTACTCTTCCTGAAAATTTCATCAAATCCTGTCAAAACCATAGCCATTTCCTGATTTCCTGATAATAAAGGGTGGCATGGAACAGACTCAGACAGCTGAGCAGAACTGGGCGGTTTCCAAATTGGCTCAAGCCAAACTGGACTATATAACAAAACACCAAATTGTGCCTGAACCGAATCCTGTGGTTATACAGAATTTTAGAGTTGGAAAATACCCCAAGGATCATCTAGTCCAACTTTTGCAATACAATACTCACACCTAGAGAATTACTGGCAGATTGCCATCTAACCTCTGGTTATAAACCTCTAAGGAAGGAGAGTCCACCACATTCCAAGGTGTTGGATAGCTCTTACCATCAGAAAATTCTTCCTGGTAAGATCATAACCTCTGGTACAGCAGAAAACAACCTATGTGGCAGCCTGTCAACTATTTGAAGATTTCTAGCACATCACCCCTCAGTCCTCTCTTCTCCAGTCTAAACACATCCAACTTCCTCAATTTGTTGTTGCTGCATCCCCTTAAAACCTGAGTCCTATAAGCAGAAGATTGGAAAGCCTAAAGCTGCCCAACAAATTGAGTCACTGCGAATTCTAACCCAAAATGATCTCATCCCCACCTACTGGACTAAAGTGCAGAGTGGAGCATAGCTATCATTTGGATTTTGCACTTCTCCAAATATGGAAATTTAATTCTCGACTCTAAAATCATAATAACATGTGATTAAAAATACATATTTTGAGAGGAAATATATTTTAAAATCTTTTTGCGTGGACAGGCGAAGTCCCCAGGTCCCGAGCGCCGCCGCCCCCGTCATGTGGAATAATGACTCAAGACAACGTGCTATGGGATTAAATTGGCCACAACTTTATTAAATTTCAAATGTGGGTAGACCTTGGCTCAGGCATTGGGCGTTCTCCCCCCCAGTCCCCAGCCGGGGACCTAGGGAGCTTCAGGGTTATCCAGTGTGTGGGGGGGGATGGGCCGGCTCTGGAGAACATATGTTCAAGCAGAGATAGCCGCCCCCGTTACGCTGCCGCCGCAGGGGAGAGCAATGACGACCTTTTGGTGTACGGTCAAAGCCTCCCTTCAGAAACCCCTTTAACGGGGAACCCTGGTATTGCCGCTGCAAAGAGGAAGATGGACAAAAGGATTCCGCCCAAGGCCTGATACCGCCAAAGTTGTGACGTTTTGCTATGGGAAAGGCGAAACCTGCCAATGCAGGGAAATTCCTTTCCGGCCCTTTGACAGCGACCTTAACGTAGCAGCGCCCGCATACTTGTAAGAAAAGTTAACCTGCAAAACCTGTGAAGAAAAGTTAACCTGCAAAATAAGGCATTAACTGAGGGTGGGTAGGGTGGGAGAAGCTCTGGAGCCAAGTGAGGATTCCCAGGTAAGATCCTCCCTCTATTGTGTGGGCAGGTAATCCCTCCCCCATCTGGCCTGATCTCCTTGGCAACGCTTCCCCCAGGTGGGATTGGACAACTGACTGGGGTAGGCGGAGACCTCCAGGTATCCCACCTGAGGGAAGGCAAAGCCAAGCCTATGCTGATGGAGCCGCTCCAGATCCAGGGGCTGCGTGCGTCCACGCAAAGGTTGCCCCCCGTTTTATGCGGGGAGCGGTCATTCTATCTATCATCTATATATATCTATCATCTATCTATCTATCTAAATATCTAATCTATCTATCTATATCTATATCTATCATCTGTCTATCATCTGTCTATCATCCATCCATCAATCCATCTATCTATTGATCATTTACAAATGTGTATTTAAATGTATGTACATATGTCCATTTCATTTAGATTTTGAAAACCTCATATTTTGGGGATGAAATTTATTTATGAATGAGCCCATGCAAAAATGACACAAACGGGAAATAGACAGATCTGTCTATCCCTTTGAGTGATGTTTGGCAATGCTGGTGGACACAAAGTCCTCTTGTTCGAGGCAGATCATCCCAGACAAACTACAAGATGTTTGGCCCAGACGAAGCAAAGTCAAATACTTTATTATACTGAGGATTTATATGACTATTTACCCAAGCACACAAAGCACTCCATGTAGATTACCTCAGTAATCCATACAACAGCTCTGTAAGGTGTGCCAGTATTAAAATCCCCCATTACACATGGGGCAGCTGAGGTTGGGAAATTGCACCTTGCCGAATGCCGTCTAATGAATTCGTAGCTGAGCTACGAACTGTGTAAGCCCCATAGAGCTCAATAAGGTTTATATCTGAACTTGTTCAGGATAGAGTCAAATAGCAAGGGTTCACCATGCTGCTTTGTGTTTATTTTCTTGTAAACCTGGTTTCATATTGTTTGCTTTTAAGAAGGGAAAGGTGTTTATGAAAACCACTGAGTTTTGCCTTTGGGATTCAGTAAAGGTAAAGGGACCCCTGACCATTAGGTCCAGTCGTGGATGACTCTGGGGTTGCTGCGCTCATCTCATTTTACTGTCCGAGGGAGCCGGCGTACAGCTTCAGGGTCATGTGGCCAGCATGACTAAACCGCTTCTGGCAAACCAGAGCAGCACATGGAAACACTGTTTACCTTCCCGCTGGAGCGGTACCTATTTATCTACTTGCACTTTGACGTGCTTTCGAACTGCTAGGTTGGCAGAAGAAGGGACCGAGCAACGGGAGCTTACCCTATTGCAGGGATTCAAACTGCTGACCTTCTGATCGGCAAGCCCTAGGCTCTGTGGTTTAACCCACAGAACCACCCACGTCTCTTTTGGGATTCAGTAGCTCTGGCCAAATGCACAATTGTCTCCATTATGTGGTTCTGTGGTATTTACTTACATAATAGTATTTAGAGGATTAAACTGGTATGATGAATTAAATAAGTAAGAGTGTGTTCTCTACAGTCCTTGCCAGTTCTAGGTAGTGTGTGTGTGTGTGTGTGTGTGTGTGTGTGTGTGTGTGTGTGTTGAGTAGGGTCTCAACTTGCCTCGCACGCAGAAGGTCTCAGGTTCAATCTTTGGCACCTCCAGTTAGGACCGTGAAATACTCCTGTATGAAATCAAGGAGAACCACTGCCTGACAGTATAGAAAGTACCGTATTTTTCGTTCTATAGGGCGCACCGGCCCATAGGACGCACCTCGTTTTTTTTTGGGGGGGGGAATGAATAAAAAAAATTATTCCCCCCCCCCGCGGCTGCCGCCCCAAGCCTCACGTGCTTCGGGCTGCAGGCTACCGCCCCAAGCCTCGCGCGCTCGGCGGGACCTCCCACCGGGCGCGCAAGGCTTGCAGACACTCGCCCGAAGCAGGGAGCCCTCCGGAGGGCTCCCCGTGCTTCGGGCGACAGGCTGCCGCCCAAGCCTCGCGCGCTCGGCGGGACCTCCTGCCGGGCGCGCAAGGCTTGCAGACACTCGCCCGAAGCACGGGAGCCCTCCGGAGGGCTCCCGTGCTTCGGGCGACAGGCTGCCGCCCAAGCCTCGCGCGCTCGGCGGGACCTCCTGCCGGGCGCGCAAGGCTGCAGACACTCGCCCGAGCACGGGAGCCCTCCGGAGGGCTCCCCATGCTTCGGGCGACAGGCTGCCGCCCAAGCCTCGCGCGCTCGGCGGGACCTCCTGCCGGGCGCGCAAGGCTTGCAGACACTCGCCCGAAGCACGGGAGCCCTCCGGAGGGCTCCCCGTGCTTCGGCGACAGACTGCCGCCCAAGCCTCGCGCGCTCGGCGGGACCTCCTGCCAGGCGCGCAAGGCTTGCAGACACTCGCCCGAGCACGGGAGCCCTCCGGAGGGCTCCCGTGCTTCGGCGCGACTGGCTGCCGCCCCAAGCCTCGCGCGCTCGGCGGGACCTCCTGCTGGGCGCGCAAGGCTTGCGGACACTCGCCGGGGCTGCAGGCTACTGCCTGCAAGCCTTGTGAGCCCGCGGGAACTCCCACCGGGCTTGCCAGGCTTGCGGATAGCTTCCTGAAGCCTGGAGAGCGAGCGGGGTCAGTGCGCGCCGATGCCTCTCGCGCTCCGGGCGTCTGCGAATGCCTGCCTGCGCTCCATAGGACGCACACACATTTCCCCTTCATTTTTGGAGGGGAAAAAGTGCGTCCTATGGAGCGAAAAATACGGTACTCAGCAAAATGGACCAATGATTGGGCTGGGTATAAGGCACCTTCCTATGTACCTGGACTGATTTTTCATTTGATTTATTTTAGCCTGCCTTACAATCAGGTTGAAAACTGATGCAATCTTATGATACACAACTAATATATTTTTTAAAAAATTAAATAATATGATGCAAAACCAAACCAAAAATAACCCCCCCAAAGCAGACATATGCAGAAGAAACTGGTAGTCTAGCCATCATAATGAAATAAAACTCAAAGTAGTGTACGAGTAAGTCAAAGTAGGTGTCACACAGAGTCTGGGGTCGAATATTAACATAGGGAAGCTCCGGTCCCCCCTACCTACCAATATCAAGAAGGTGGCTCATCTTCAGAGGTAGCTCAGTTGATAAAGCATAAGACTCTTAATCTCGGGGTCATGGGTTTGAGACCCAAGTTGGGTGAGGTTCCTTCATAGCAGGAGGTTGGACTAGATTATCCTTCCAACTCTATGTTTCTATGATTCTATGATCTCAGTGATTGGGGAAGTTCATCTGGGAGAAGATCCCAGATGTTAGGGTTGGTCAGGGGTGGCTAACCTGTGGCGTTCCAGCTGTTGTTAGACTACAGTTTATATCATCTATTAACCATGCTGGCTGGGGCTGATGGGAATTGGAGTGCAGCAATGCCCTGAGGGTCACAGGTTCCCCATCGCTGCCCCAGAACCTTTGCCAGGATACTAATAATACTGTGGACCGAAGATCTGACTCGTTATAATAATAATAATTTATTATTTATACCCCGCCCATCTGGCTGTTCATTATAGAACAGTTCCCTATGTTCATTCACCTGGGTTGTCAACCTAGCTAGACAAGTCTTGGGTAATAGGATAAATGGACCTCACAACCACAGGTATCCTGAAGAAGTGGTCTGCTGCTTTGGTGTGAGGTTGCATGACTGTGCAAGTAGAACATAGGAAATGTTTCAAATGCATTCATTCATTCAGTCAGTCAGTCAGTCAGTCAGTCAGTCAGTCAGTAAGTCAGTCATTCATTTATATACTGCCACATCACGAATTATCAGGGTAGTGTAAACCACCCTTTAAAGCATTCAGCTTTGTAGGATGTGCATGAGTTCTAGTGTTGTGAGAAGAAGAAAATCTTTTCTCAATCCACTTTTTCTGTGTGATTCATAATTTTTATAAACTTCTATCATGTCACCTCTTACTCATCTTTTTTTCTAAACTGAAAACTGCCAAATGAAGTAACCTTTTTTTCACAGCGAAGTCTTTCCTTCCCCACCCATGATTATTCTGGTTGCCCTTTATATGGCATAATGCATTTATATTTGGAATGAATGAATGAATGAATGAATGAATGAATGAATCGTGTTGGAAGTCACTTGGAGACCTTTGGATAACAAACAAATACAAAGTCTAATGATCACCACCACCACCACCATAGCAACGATGCCTGAAAGTAAAAAGTGGGAGGATGCCTGTTGCATCGCTGCTGGAAGAGTGTTCCACAACATGGGACCAGTGACACTAAATACCCAAATCCTAGTGGAGGCCAGTTGTGCCTCTGTAACATCAGGGACAACTAACAGTGTTGCTCTGGGTGATCTCAGTAATCAGGGCTCAGGCGGTCCTGGAGGTGTCCTGGGCCCAAACTGTAGGACCTTCTGGCCTTGAAATCCAGGCAGCCATCTTTCTCTCTGGATGGGGTTGAAAGAGGGCAGAGAAAGTGAGATGAGTTCCTGTGCTTATCCAGCTAGGATCTCAGCACGACCTGCTTTTGCTTTTGAGTAGAATGCTCAGAAACTCCTGGGTAGAGAGACTTCTGAAGGAGCTGCAGCAGCAGCAGCAACAACAACTTTGCACGGCGCATTTGTTTTATGTCTGAACTGTACATGCAGCAGTGAATAGAGCTCATAAAAGATGGATGCATTCTTGTTCCTTTTGCCAGTTTTGATTTATTATTTACTGTGCTTTTTCCAACCCTTCCGAGGCGTTGTAAATCATCGAAATCATTTTTTCCTCTGCTTGGCTAGTTGTGAGGGAGAGACCAAAGGGAGATGATTGCGTGGAACTCCTTGGCAGGGCAGGGCTGGGTGTATATATGGGAGAGAGATGCATGCTTTTAAGTTCTTTTGAGTTTCAGAACTTAGAAAATTCACAAAGTACCTTGGAAACCTGTGTTTTCCCACATTTCCCATTCCTTTGCGTTATGCAGCTTGTATCAACGGAGTGACCACTCGTGCTCACCAGCAGAATCTCAGCTGTCTAGGGAACCCGTCTTGCCCAATTGCAATGTCACTGAAATCCAGATGATCTTGTTTGGAAAATCAAAATTCAATGGTTCAGAACACCTCAGGTGTGAGCATTAACCCCCCCCCCTTCTCCTCTCTCTACAGCTGGTAGTACTCAGGGCTTAAAAAGATTTTCCAACTGCACCAATCCCCATCTCTCCCTTCATAAAACACAATCAGGGGCAAAGGAAGAAGAACTGACACCTGGTGCAGGGTGTTGGGTCAAACTGTCCGGCGGCGCATGCGCATGTGCCATACGTACAATCTATGCATGCACACCACTATGTATGACACATGTGTGCGTGCCGTACATATGGCACATATGCAGTGCCGTACATACGACACATGTGCACATGCCATACATGTACGTAGTGCTGCCATGCATGCGCCGCCAGCCGGTTTGCCACCGGCGCCACTCGAGTGCCGTACGGACGGCAGCAGGATCCTCTGCTGGTGGCTGCAGTGGCAGTGGAGGGATCCCACTGCCATATGTACAGCACATGCACATGTTCCACTGGGCGGTTTGCCAACAGTTGCAGCCACTAGCAGAGGATCCTCCACATGTGGCAGCGGTGGTGCGGTGGCGGCGGCTCACACCACTGCGCCCGAGGGCAGCAAGGCGAGCCCACCGTGGGGTATCTCGTCACCCTGCACAGAGATGGTACCCGGGGCGAGCCGCCAGCCCCCGTCCCCCTTCCTCCACCACTGCAGACAATACAAGTCACAGGCCTTCCATGAATCAATATTGTATGCTCTACTTGTATTCATAAAAAGTGGGTGATGTTGTAGAGGGAATAAATGAAGAGAGCCCTGGTGGCAGGACAGCCACCCACTTAATAATCCAAGCTGTAAATAATACAAATGAGAACTAATTGCCAGCACACCCTTAAAGAAGACTCGAGAATCCACAACATATTCAAATATAACATAGAGGATCTGCAAACAAGCAAATAAACATAATTAGCCAAATCAAAATATAGCCCAGGCAGGGAAGTTTCCTTAGGCAAGAGGGATCAGCTCCCTCCCTACTCCTGGGCATGTTTACAAGCTCCACCTGTGACCCCGCAGCACAGCATGGGAAGGAATTCTTCCCCTTTGCAATGAGAACTTTGGGCATCTGAAGCTGACAAGCACCCCATGGCCCTGCCAGTTTGGCATTCACCCCGGTGCACCTGCCAAGCCCCAAAGGACCCAAGGCCACGGTTGCATAGGGTGACGAAGACTGCCCTTAACCCAATAATGCCTCAGAAACTGGGTGGAGGAAAGGGTTAATTCCATTCATGAACACAAGTCACCCCATTTATGTGACAAGTCACCAGGTGCATGGTCAGGCAAGCCAGTTGTTATGGCAATGGCCCAGTGCCATCTATGTAAGTGATTAAGGCATGTCAGCTCATTAGTTAGTCAGTGAGTCCATTCGTGTGTCCGGGTCTGTCATGTGAAGTGTGTGAGTCTGTCTGTCTGTGTTACGTCTTGAATTGACGGAGCAACAGAGATATTTTATACTTGTATGTATGTATGTTCTGTTGTGAATTGCCCTGGGATCTTTGGATTAAGGGCTGTATACAAGTTTAAATCATGAAAATTAAAATTAAAATTAATAATAATAATAATATCTGCTTTTTCTACTTTGTAACACTTCGTATATTTCTCCTTACAAAACTTCTTGTAGTCCTACTAGTGTTGATTACAGTTGCTCTTCAAATAATTCATATACTTCTTCCAACCTTCTGCAACTCTCTGGTCCCACAGGTTTCCAATCAATCCTTCCTGTCATTTTGTCCAATTCTGCATAGTCCATTAATTTTGTCTGCCATTCTTCTTTCGTCAGAATTTCTTCTTGTTTCCATTTCAGGGATAACAATACTCTTGCTGCAGTTGTTGCATATAAAAACAATTTAACATCTTGCCTATTAATGTCCTGACCTATAATACCAATTGATGGAGCAACAGAGATATTTTATACTTGTATGTATGTTCTGTTGTGAACTGCCCTGGGATCTTTGGATTAAGGGCTGTATACAAGTTTAAATAATGAAAATTAAAATTAGTAATAATAATAATATCTGCAAAGCCTACAAACTGTATGTATATATTAACGTCCAGAATGGTATCATTGAAGCCTCTATTTCTGCATCAGTAAACCGTTTGGACCTTAAGCTGCCTCTCTGTGGTGCCTGGAACTGGGGGCAACTTCCACTGTGTGGGTGTCTCACCTCAGATTCCTAACAATCTTAATTTTTCTTTCTTGCCCAGACTAAAAGCCAATTAAACCAGTCAAAAATACCACTCCAAGAACAGGACTTCCAGCAGTATGGGGTAGGTGAAAAAGAAGCCAATCAGAGGATCCCCCCAAAAATGTGAGTCCCGAAACAGGCAACTAGCAAAGCCCATACTGCATAGGGAGGGAGGGGGACACTGCAAAGAGGAGAGTGGAGTACTTGGGGGTGGAGCCAGCCTGGTTCATTCTCCATCCAGATTGGCCTGCTGACCTCTTAGGCCCTTCCCTGACTCCTCCCCAGGGCAAAACCATTTTGAGTCTTCTTCCCAAGGGAGTTTGGGTGTGGTCAATTCGCCCCCGCTTGAGGGTGGAAATGGCATTTTCCAGCCATTATGGCGATTGGAATTTTTGTTTCCAAAAAACATAGGTACCTAATGGGACCCCATTAACCTCGTAATTTTCCATCTATATCCACAGTGCATCCTTATCTTCAAGAATAAAAGAAACCATATAGCTGAGCTGACATGCATCAGAATAAATGTTAGGTTTGGTATCCCCACATCCTCCATCCCTGGGATGTTGACACAAATACCCATTCTGAAACACACACACACACACACACACACACACACACACACACACACATTAGAAAAGGAAAAAGGCAAACTAACAGAAAGTAGGCTTTGCTCCTTGCTTGAGCCTTGTATCAGCAATATTTTCCCCATAGGAGCCAACACTTCTTATCTACTATTCAATGAGTATTTATTTCTGAATCGGCCTTAATTCAGTAACAACAGGCACACAGAAAGGAATACTTTAAGAATATTTAGAAGGATGTGATAAATATGTCCAAAGATGAAGATGAAGAAGAGGAGTTTCTGGCCAAAAAGACAGTTTCCTTAAAAACATGGTTCAGGCAGTTTAAGTATGGAAACCAAGTGCATTCTGCCCTTATATAATTTGTGTACATGGTGTCCCTGACATTCCTTGTTCTTTAAGTACCGTATTTTTTGCTCTATAAGACTCACTTTTTCCCTCCTAAAAAGTAAGGGGAAATGTGTGTGCGTCTTATGGGGCGAATGCAGGCTATGCAGCTATCCCAGACGCCAGAACAGCAAGAGGGATCGCTGCTTTCACTGCGCAGCAATCCCTCTTGTTGTTCTGGCTTCTGAAATTCAGAATATTGTTTTTCTTGTTTTCCTCCTCCAAAACCTAGGTGTGTCTTATGGTCTGGTGCGTCTTATAGAGTGAAAAATACGGCACTTAAGAAACAAGTATGCCTAACATATTTAATCCCACACCTCATTTTTCCACACTTTCTGCTTAAGTTATGTATTTTTTGTTACTGTATGTTGTAAACCATCCTGTGATCCTCAGATGGAAGGTGGTATAGAAAATTTAAAAACAAAGGGATAAATAAATTTCCAACTGCACAATATTTCTTCCAGCTCTACATTCTGTGTCCATCTGCACACTGGAGAGAAAAAACCCACCCAACTCTTGTTAGTTCACTTAATCTTTCTGGGCAAGTTCCACTTCCCAGTGCCCCCAGCTCACCACAGTAGAAGCATACAAGGAAGCCTAAAAAACATGGGATAGCAAGATCTCTGTCTTATCCTCCATTCTTCTGCTGCTTCCACCATCATGGAAGCAGCCTAGAAACCAGGAAAGAAGATGATAAGTGGGGCAGAGTTGCTTTAGAAGGAGGCAGTCAGAAAGGCAGTGAGTAACGATAATAAAAAGTCTTTTTGATTTTAAAGTGAAAAGACATTTCTATGGAAAGGAACACATTCAGCTGAGATGAATAGGTGGCTGCATGCACAGATAATTTTGAATCTTATTTATCTTTGTGTGTTTGGTTGCTCTTCCCAGCTCCTATCTTGTGACCTATTTATTCCTCCTTTAAGTAGGTCCAGCTGGGTATCAGCTCAGGAGGAGAATTCAAAGTTCCCAGCATGCAGAGGCTATAACTAGGGCAAAGTCAAGTGGATCCTGAAAATATCTGCTGGGATCGAACTAAAGCTGGCCATCAATTTGTGGTGCTTAGTGATTAGCACTTGCCTAATGATTTACTCACCCTGTCTCAAATGTGACAACCGTTATACAAAGGCTGCACTAAAAGGACCAGAGAGAACTTTCTTAGCTCAAGGAGAGGCTGTTTCAGGGGTACAAAAGTCTTTACTTGCTAGATAGCAAAGCGATGGCTGGAGATACGGACCTGACACTAGTTTGCTTGCATGATGACGCAACATAGCTAGAGCAATTTGACTAAAACAGGGGTCACCGGGTGCAGTACTGCCCTTGGGATCTTTCTCTGGTGCCCACACAGCTTCTTAGACAACCGACCCACATCCACTGACCCCTTGGTGTTTAGGATGGATGCCTTTTAGGATGGATCTGAAGGAGGAAGTTGGAAGAATGACCCTCTTTCCTGCTTTCTCTTAGCTCAGTCAGTGAAACATGAGACTATCTCAGGGTTGTGGGTTTGAGCCCCATGTTGGGTGAAAGATCCTTCATTACAGAGGGTTGGACTGGATGACCCCTGTGGTCCCTTCCAACTCTACGAATCTGCGATTCTATGTGCTTTTCAAGTCTCATATTAATTCTGCCTTTAATCGCAATCCCTTGGAACGGAAAAGTATGTGTGCATGTGTGCATGAGCCCTTTTCCCCTTTCTGCCTCTTGGGCATGGGGGCTGATCCAGAGGGCATAAGTGACCAGCGGAGGTGGTACCTACAGCATATGGTTAAAAGTACAAATGTGAAGGTCTCTGAAATCAAATCAGAGTATAGGCAAAGCTTCTTGGAATCAGTCTGTTGTATTGTGTGGCTTTAAAAGAAAGAGGAATGAAAACAGTACTCAGGAACAGGGCTGGCTCTCAGTTGCTGATGCAGTGAGCACAGGTGACATTGGGTTGCTTGCAACCCTCCTCCTCCTCCTGAAAAGTTCCAAGTAGGATAGCCATGATCACACCCTGTAAATTGTGGGTGGGATGGGATGTTGTGTTCCCGTTCCAAAACACAATGACAGTGGCTCTTGTTTGAAAGTAAGGCTAATACAGTCATACCTTGGAATTCTAACGGCTTAGTTGCCGAATGTTTTGGCTCCCAAACGATCAAAAACCGGAAGTGGTTGTTCCAGTTTTCAAACATTCTTTGGTACCTGTATGTCTGATGCAACTTCCACAGCTTCCGATTGGCTGCAGGAGCTTCCTGCAGCCAATCAGAAGCTGCACCTTGGTTCCTGAACATTTTGGAAGTTGAACGGACTTCCAGAAAGGATTCCGTTCGACTTCCAAGGTGCGTCTGTAATGGTACAGGATCAGCAGCGAGCATAGAAGTCATGATTCCAAGGGAAAAAAATGAGGCAAGAGATGCTGAATAGAATAAAAGCAAAGAAGATGTCCCAACAGTTGGTGTGTCCTATGCACCAAGCTTGTATAGTGAAGGAAGCTCACTTGCAAGACTCTCCCTTGTTCCAGGACCTCTGCAGGCTCAAATGTGCACTCTGCCTGGGTGGGTGCATCTGATCCTACCTATGGAGGTGGTGCCTAGTTCTTGGCAGAAAGATTGGGTCCTGCTCCTCTGAATCTAGCCCCACAATCTGGTCAAAGTCCTCTCCCCTTCCCACTGAGGCTCTGCAGGAGGGATGCTCGAGAAAGGCAGAGGATCTGACTCTCTCTCTCTCCAACATCTGGAATCAGAAAAGGAGGACCTCCATCCTCCAGCCCTGGATGCCAGCCCTCAAGGCCCCACCCTGCTTCTTCTTTTTCTCCTTCCTCCTCCATCTGGGGCTACCAAACCATGGCAGACACTGACAGAACTGAGGGGTCCATGACAGCAGGGAGCTGGCAGATGATTTAAGCTCAGAGATACATTGAATGTCTTCATAAGTCATGTGGCTTTGCCTAACTAATAACAAAGGATGAAACATCTAATGGATTAATCAGTTATAAAAGAGACACTAAATTTAATTTTATTTTTAAATGCAATTTAAACGTTGTTATGCTGCAATATTTAACCCAGTGTAAAAGCCATTTAAGCTTCTGATTAAATTCCCATCAAGTACATATGCATATATGTTTTCCACCTGTTTTGGTTATACAACCTACACATCCAAACTCTCTTAATAGTTAGTGAGCTTCTCCTTGTTACACTCTAACTGTTACATGGGTGTGCATATGCCTCAAGTTTCCCCTTTCATCTGATTCTGTGATATTTTATTTTTTAGATCTGCTCTGAGTTGCTCCGTGGGCTCTCCTCTTTTATCTGCGTTGCAGGTTCCAAATCCACTCTGTATATAACAAAGGTCTCTGGTCCTCATTTGCTGTAATGCTAAATCTAAAAACAGCTATAGCTTTTTCAAGAAGATGGCCTATATCATAACGATTTCGTTCAAACTGTTTACAGCAAGCGCTATCAGCACCAGACACCCTCTCAGAAGGGGCAACTCCCAGAAGAAAACCAATTAAACATTCAATTGTGACCTGTGATTAATGAATTCATTAATTAACCCCACCCAACTAATCAACAAAAAAAACTTGCAAGGAATTTCTGAATTAGGAGACTTGCTTTTGCTTACATATCAAAGAGCTTTGCAACAAGTCACACAGAACTGCATTAGAACATATTTGAGATCTTTCCTTTTCATGTCCCAAACAGCTCAGTTTCTAGCTGCTCCTTGTCTCGTGGGAACAGAGGTCTCTTCCCATCCACAGTGAGGCATTTTCATTGCTAATAAATCAAGAAAGAGTTTCCCAAAGATACGTGACATGTATGGTTTAGCTAGATTCCCCTTTCCTTCTTGTTTTCTTTCTAATTCCCCTATTGCCACCCCAATACAAGTTGAGCATTAGTTTGAAACTACCATCCAAATCATAAGCAATGGACCTCCAGGTGTCCCTGGACTACAAGTTCCAGCATCCTTGACCATTGGCATTGCTGGGAGTTGGGAGTCCAGCAGCTTCTGGGCGACACAGATTCCTGCTCCTGATCTCAATGGTAATAGGTCATTTGTTTAAATGTTTTCTCCTGCTCCAGAGGGTAGGACCTGCAGCAGCTGTAAGCCACTCTGTAATGACTGGCAGAAGTTCCCCAGGGTTTCATCCAAAAGCTTTTCCTACCTCTATCTGGAGATGATGGGGACTGAAATTCAAACTCAATGAATGGAAAGCAGATGCTGTACCACTATAAATGGATTGATCTATCAGTTTAATATCTTCCAGTTTCTCGTTTGCCCAATTTTAAATTCAGTTTTTCCCAATTTGGATTTTTAAAAAAATCTTCATGAAAATTTGTCAAGAGTTTTAGTACAATTTTTGCCTAATAAAACACATTTCTTTTGCCTGACATGTGCAATCTCCTCTAACGCAACACAGTTCTGTATGTTATTTTCACAGATATATGCATTCCTAGGCACATTCACCCTGATGTATGCCTTTTCGTACACATTTCTTGGCTGGAGAACTGCAAAGCACAACTCGGATAAGTGTGAATTTAGAAGGATGGTGGTGCTTTGGTTAGATTGGTGGTTTGGAAAGTGTGAATTTAGAAAGTTCGCCTTTAAAATGCGAACTGATATATGAACCAACCCGGGCCCTGAGATCCTCATCTGGGGCCCTTCTTCATGTGCCCCCTCCATGAGATGCCTGAACACAAGAACAGGGCCTTTTCTGCTGTGGCTCCCTGCTTGTGCAATGCTCCCCCTAGGGAGGCTTGCATAGTGCCTTCATTACATATCTTTGTTGCCAGGCAAAAACATTCCTCTTCTTCCAGGCCTTTAGCTAATTAAGCAATCATAGAATCATAGAAATGTAGAGTTGGGAGGGACCCTGAGGATCATCTAGTCCAACCCCCTGCAATGTAAAATATGCAGCTGTCCCATATGGCACTTGAACCTGTAACCTTGGTGTTACCAGCACCACACTCTAACCAGCTGAGCCATCTACAGCCTTTTAAACTGGGGTGCTGGTGGTATTCTTATTTTATTATTCATTATTTATTTAATTTATATACCACCCTATACCCAGAGGTCTCAGGGCAGTTCACATAAAATATCACAATATGTAAAATCAAAATAAAAACAGTAACCCAATAAGACACCCACCCCAAAAAGAGCTACATTTTACAAAGGTATAGGATGTATGGAAGTGAGAGCTAGACCTTAGAGAAGGCTGATCACCGAAGAATTGATGCTTTTGAATTATGGTACTGGAGGAGACTCTTGAGAGTCCCATAGACTGCAAGAAGATCAAACCTATGCATTCTTAAGGAAAGCAGCCCTGAGTGCTCACTGGAAGAACAGATCCTGAAGCTGAGGCTCCAATACTATGGCCACCTCCTGAGAAGAGAAGACTCCCTGGAAAAGACCCTGATGTTGGGAAAGATGGAGGGCACAAGGAGAAGGGGATGACAGAGAATGGTTGGACAGTGTTCTCGAACCTACCAACATGAGTTTGGCCAAACTGCAGGAGGTAGTGGAAGACAGGAGTGCCTGGCATGCTCTGGTCCATGGGGTAAAGAAGAGTCGGACACGACTAAACAACAACAAGGAGGTCAATCAGGTGGTATTGTTCCTGTTTCTTACTATGCTGTGTATTTTTATGTTTTTTTATATTGTAAACTGCCTTGTGATTTTCAGATAAAGGGTGGCATAGAAATAATAATAATAATAATAATAGGAAACCTAATGTCTCTTTTCCCCACCTCTGTCTAGCACTAAGCTGTGGCCTTTCTCCAGAGTTCTTTGTGCACAGACGTTTTGAACCAAGACACAGGGCGTATGGTGTGAATGCTATTTCATGAAGTGTAACTCGTGAAAAATCCATTTATCTCCTTTTCCTCCCAGCCTCCACCACATGAATAAGTGATGATCTTGTAAGTGATGAACCTTCCCCCTCTTTAGGTGTGAAGTGAATGTTTATAGGCATTGAGTAAATCTACTATCCCACGGGTGAGCAGCAGGATATTAAGTGGAATGACTGTGTATGGTTAGTACATGCTGGCAAAGGCAGGCGCTGGGTCTTCTCCCAGGCAGCAATGACCTCTCTGCCTTTAAATGACATGCCCAATCATCCTGAGAGAGTGACAAAGTATTCAAGAGCTCAGAGAAAAGGCTTTGCGGAGAGTAATCAGAAGAAGGGGTGATGGCTCCCGAAAGCTATGATAACAAATGAAGACGTCTTAATTGTCATCCTTTTTGTTCACAGACCTAAGGATGGGTGCAGTTTGATTCGGCTTGCATTTAAAAGTAAACGGTAAAAGTAAAGGGACCCCTGACCATTAGGTCCAGTCGCAGACAACTCTGGGGTTGCACGCTCATCTCGCTTTACTGGCCAAGGGAGCCAGCGTTTGTCCGCAGACAGCTTCAGGGTCATGTGGCCAGCATGACTAAGCTGCTTCTGGCAAACCAGAGCAGTGCACGGAAACACCATTTACCTTCCCACTGGAGTGGTACCTATTTATCTACTTGCACTTTGATGTGCTTTCGAACTGCTAGGTGGACAGGAGCAGGGACCGAGCAACGGAGGTTCACCCTGTCGCAGGGATTCGAACCACTGACCTTCTGATCAGCAAGCCCTAGGCTCTGTGGTTTAGACCACAGTGCCACCTAATTCACAAACAATGTGATGACTGAGACATTGCCACATTTCAAAATTCAAACGTCTCTGAATTTTGCAATGCAGTTTGCCAGCCTATTCACATGTTCAAAAATGTCCTTACTAGGGTACAGTGGTGCCTCGCAAGACGAAATTAATCCATTCTGCGAGTCTCTTCGTCTAGCGGTTTTTTCGTCTTGCGAAGCAACCCTATTAGCGGCTTAGCGGATTAGCGCTATTAGCGGTTTAGCGGCTATTAAAGGCTTAGCGGCTTAGCGGCTTAGCGGCTAAAAGGCTATTAGCGGATTAGCGGCTTAGAAAAAAGGGGGGGAGCGAAAAAAATCTCAAGACTCACAAGACATTTTCGTCTTGCGAAGCAAGCCCATAGGGAAATTCGTCCTGCGAAGCGCATCGAAAAACGGAAAACCCTTTCGTCTAGCGGGTTTTTCGTCTTGCGAGGCATTTGTCTTGCGGGGCACCACTGTAGTTTGCATAAGGTGTTTATATTAGTGAAAATAACATGCAGAATCCCATTGTATTAGGGACATTCCAGTGAAATCAGAATGTGGCAAGTGCAATCTTCACTTGACCAGATTCTCTCGACATGCTTTTCTTCGCTTTCACACAAGCAGTGCTTTTTTCTATAAAAAAGAAAGTTTAGGGGGGCTCTCATTTTGACTCAAGAAAATCACCATTTTATAGTTCAAATCGGGGAAAATAAATACAGTAAATGGACAAAAGTGCAAAGATTCAAAAGATGTTTAGGGATATGCGTACACCTGCATACCCCCAGAAAATAAAGCATTGTGCACAAGTAAAGGGGGTGAACTGGGGATGGAGGAGGAATTTGTCTGGTCCACATTTTAGGGTGAACCTACCACAATGACACTTCCCAAGCCAGTACGCAAACTGTAATGCAGCTTTCCTTCAGAATAAACTCCTCTCCAACTTGTGCGATGCAGTTCTTCCCCCTGTCAAAGGGAAAGGAGCCACATAAAAATTTGTATATTGGGGAAAGTGCACACGCAAAAACTACTTAATTACCGAAAAGAGCGCAGATGAATTATATTGGTAGGAACTGCTTGCAAAATGTTGTATTAGGAGAAGTGCACACAAAAATGGATACAACTTTTTTGTACATACCCTTTTAAAAAATAAATAAATAGCAAATTGGTGCAGAAATGGGGGAGACACCTAAAGACGCATTGACAGACTTGTCCATTCCTTTGTTTCATTTCCCCCATGTTTCCTTACCTGATAATTTCCACATTTTTGTGTTTTTGACTTGTTATAAAAGCCACTTATAGAGGGGGGGGGAAGTGTTTTGGTGTATTTCTCATGGCATAAAAGCCACTTTTTAGCAAAAATCTAACAGAAGTTTACTACTCATTTCTGTGTTATTTCCTTTTGGAAAAATCCATTTGCAACATTGTTAACCTGGGAAATTCAGGGCGTAGGTTGCGCTGTAGTTTCACATGACAAAACTTGGGCCGGTATTCCAGCAAACAGTTCCATTTAAATTTTGCACACCGTGGCATTCTATTGATCCAAGAGCCACAGGTACTGCAGTGTTTATTAGAAGCACTAGCGTTACGGCAAGAAAAACCTACACAATAATCCCCACATCTGAATGCACCCTTAGTCATTGTCTTCTTCCTACAAATTCAGGAAAGAGGCATGAAATATCATCAAGGATGGCACCCTCTCCCAGTGCCCTCTGCTCATGGCACTGATGCACCCAAGAGGTATTGCATAAGGACTGGGATGATCTCATAGCAAAGGAACACAATATTGCTACCCTTGGAAAAGAAAATTAACTTCAGATTTGTGGTAATAGCTTCTTTTACAAGGGCATAAGTACTAAAAACTCAGAGCTGGAATTTTGAAAATGTAACTTTGAGACAGCTGGGGTGGGGAAAACTTGATATAGATCATGCTAATTGAATTTTAGTCTGCTTAAATGAGCAAGAGGAGAAAAATCTGACACAAGTAGTTTTGCCACTAAGCACATTTTAAGTTTTATAATATAGTAAAGGGTGGTGATTCTGATACTGAATCCTAAAAGTTTGTATTAATTGCATTTTCATTTGCAGTGTATTGTAACGGGTCCTAATGTTTAATTACAGAGCGTTTAAACTGTGTACTTACAGCTGCATTCCATAGAATGTGCGTGATAAAAATTTATTTCAGTCTTCTCAGTGTATGTAACTTGGTCAGGGTTGTTTTTGGTTTTTTTGAAAATTTCTCTGGATCAAAAGAGAAGCAGCTTTCCCCCTCTTGTAGCTGCTACAAGAGGGTCTCGGATTAATGTGCAAGCAGTTCATCCTTTCTAGACTCGGTTGGTTGTTAATAGCATTTAAGAGTCGCGTTAAACACAAGCACACAATTTGACTCTAAGATATTGGCTTCTTACACATCACTTTCCATGACAGATAGGTGGCTTCAATGACAGACAATGTCCAAATGATGTCTCAAAGAGCAAGTGACTTCAATAATGTGAGCTTTTGTTCTTTAAAGGATACCTGTTCTCGGATCATTTGTTAAATATGAATCCAACTCCCTGCCCTGCCCTAGGACAATCAGGAATTGTATATTTTCCATAAATACTGCCCATTGACAAGGAAGTAGTAAATCACGCTCAATTCTCTTTTCTGTGTTGTTTGTTTGTAAACCAACCATAAACAATAAATGGACTTTTAAAAGCTGCTTATTTTATTAATTTGCTTCAAACAAAAACAAAAACACCTCTCCAGTGTTATAAATGCAAGGCTGGTTTTTAAGGAGTCCAAATCATGAGCATTTTCGTGTTTGTGGACAAGCTACAAGGGGACATTTGTGGACAAACGGTATAAAACGCAGCGGTGAAGCTGACAATCTCCTGTCCACACACAGCAGTGCAGCATGTCATAGCAGCACCTTCACTGTAGAGGTGAAACTGATTGGAAATATTACATTTATCTTTATCAATTTCACCTCTTCAGTGAAGAGCAATTTCAGGACAGCTGCCACAGATAGTAGCATGGAAACCTATGAACTGGGGAAAGTGATAAGAAGGTTATCAATAAAGTTTGGTCTTCCTACCAAATCTGATATTCCATCACTAGAATGACTGATTTGGAAATGGAATTCTTCCTTCAGACTTAATATGTCCCTGCTTGGGCATCATGGGAATATAGCTGGTTTAATACTGAGTGAAGCCCTTTGTCCAGCTAACTCAGTAATAATAATAATAATAATAATAATAAATTTTATTTATATCCCGCCCTCCCCAGCCGAAGCTGGGCTCAGGGCGGCTAACAACAATCAAAATAATCCAACATTCTAAAAACATTTCACTATGAAAATTAATTTAA